ACATTCACTGTAGTGCTATACATGCGCACAGCACTTGTAGGCGTGTCACTTGGGTGCCGTGTTCCGTCGGTTTTGCGAGTTGTTTTGGCTGAAGTTTCTCTCCATATACCGAGCAAAGATATCAACTCTCGAGCGCGTTTACGCGAATACTTGAGCAAATACGAATCACTTGAATACTACTATCACGCAAAAGTTAATTTACCATCACTTGTCGAACAACTCATTTCCCTGAAATTTTACGTTGAAAAATCTTTTCTGTGCAATAAAACCAACCTGCTCAGGGTACAAAATGGAGGGGGAAAAAGAACAATCACGGGAAAGCTAAAATGGAAAAATAATCTGAATTTACCGTGCTCGAGTATATTACAAACCCCGCGATTAATTCAAGCCCGTGCCTCGTAAACTGATTGCCCAGCAAATTAATTGTTAACTGCTATACCACCCGACACCATACACATGTATACCATTGCTTTTGCAGTACGTACCTACACTTTGGTAATACATCGGTTCAACTTTTCCAACAATAATTTTACTTTTCTTCGCATTCTCAGAATTTCGTTGCAATATTTAATGAAATTGTTTTTCCGTGGAACTAGAATAATGATGTTATTTGCAGAAGAGCAATAAAGAATCGTGGAAGAGCACCACCAGGAATGTTTTTAATACAGAGTTTGTAATATCCACTGTTATTACAATTTTCAAACAACTTTTGTAACAAACAAAAAAAAAAAAAAAAGAAGAAATATGCGATTGCTCGGACGTACATCCCTTGAAGCGTAAAATTTTATATACCTCTTTTGTTGCAAAAAACATATCTGCAGTTTGTGTTTAAATTGCCTACCTTAAAAAAAAAAAAAAAAAAAAAAAAAACTATAAAATCCTCGAGAGGGGGAAACAAACTGCGCGATGCGAAATTACACGTATCGTTTGCAATTCGAGTAAAATGCACACACGTGCGTGCAAACAATATTCACACGGGGGGAGCGCAGTGAATCCAGTTGATTATCATTATTGCAAAATACGTCACAACGGGAGAGCTCGTACACGTTTAAACGACAACGCTCGTGCCATAAAATTACAGCGGGACTGCAAACGCTCTGTCTGGACTATATTATGCACACGTGCACCCGTGTACCTATATATATATACGACACGTATGTACTTCGCGCAAAACAATTTCCCGTTGGTTGGACAGTAGAGCTACTGCGTTACGTTCCACCCGTGCGGGCGTATATAAAAAATGTACCCCAGCTAGTAGTGGTACAGGGTGTGAGGGAGGCACTCGGTCCCCGATAACGTAATCCAAACTGATAATTTTTTATTGCACGCGCGAGCCGAGCGTTTTTTGCTGCCGTTGCTTTAATTTTCCAGCTCGATGCGTCCCCGTGATTTTCGATTCGAGTTTCATTCGCGTCATCCTTTTTTTCCGATTCAATTGATTAAAACAAATTCGGCAGTGACGGCCAGTGAATTATCGAGTCTCCGGGGGTCGGGTGGGCTTTTCCTTTGTCCGATGACGATGCATGTCCCGCCGCGCGCGTGTTTTTTCAAAGTGTATTATTACTCAATCAAATCGAGGGCGAATCCTCGAAACTAGGAAAATTCATTAGCCTTTCCGGTCACGCTCCGGCCGAGCTCGGATTTTTAGCTTGATTTTTCCGCGCGATGTAGAAAAAAAAGAGGAGAGGGAGTCCCCTGCAGGCCATCCACGTCGTTCACTTGGACGCTTGCTTTTTGTCTGCTCCGGCGCACAACGCACAACGAGAGGAAGGTAAAAAAAAAAAAAAAAAAAATGAAGGACAAGAGGAGGAGGAGCCGCAGGGGGGGGGGGAAGAAAAGCACACGGGCGCACGACGGAAAATCCAATAAATCGTTGGACGAAATTGGCTTGACCTTCTATTTTTCGTATACCCCCTTGGAAGCGAATGTGAGACCGCTATCTCGTCCCCTTGTTTTTTCTCATTCTGATGCTCCGTTTTCTTTTTCTCCCTCCCTCCTCTCCTATACCTCGTTATTTATTTATCTAACTCAATCTCTTTCCCGTTTTATTACCCAGGGACCCGGCGTGTTTTTGTTGTTTTTTTCCTTCCTGGGAGTATAAGCTTTAATTGCATCTCTGTTACGGATTAAATTTTTAACTCAAATGGTTTTACTTAAAAAAAAAAAAAAAAAAAAAATCAAGGCGTACGGCGTACAATTTTTGTTTAACCCACGAAACTGGTTGACATCTCCAAGATATTGATGAGTATATATTATTTTCAATTATGCTCTCTCTTCGCGAGATGGGAGGCATAGGCGGGAGAAAAAGTGTGCGCACGAGGGGATTAACCAGGAGAGTTTTTCGGGTAACCAGAGATGATGGATGCAAAAAAGGTGTCCCCCCCTGCCCGAGCATTTTGATAAACCCATACGAAAATCTCGGAGCAAGCAGTTTATACCCGACCTATTACTTCCCTTTTTGCTGATGTTGCTTTCTTGTACCCATACATATGCATATATATATATA